GTGTCGCTTCGCTTGCTCGGCGCACTTGGCGAGCTGGAGAGGTGAGAGGCATCCTGCAAGCGGACTCACGGTGGCGAGTCCGGAGCCGCAGCCGAGAAGAGGCGCGGACAAGACAGACTCTCCCAGCTCTCGGGTCCCCGGCTTCCCCTGGGCTGGCCGGACTGGCACCCCGTGTGGCCCTGCGCCTCCTCCCCCGCCCGACCCAGCGCGCTCCTCCCCAGCCGGCCCCTCAGCGCGCGGCGCGCTGGAGGCGAACGCGGGCTGAGCTGAGCGCAGTGGCAGCCGACCCCGTGCGCCCCGCGCCGCTCCCTGCATGTGCCGCCCGCGGCGGCTCGCAGCCCCCCGCAGCAGCTTCGGCGGCGCCTTGAGAGGCAGCTGCAGCGGCTCCAGCGGCGGCCGAGCGGCCGAGCCCGGGCTGGGAGACACGATGCGCCGCGTCCTCCGGCTGCTTCTGGGCTGCTTCCTCACCGAGCTGTGCGCTCGCGTGTGCCGGGCGCAGGAGCGAGCGGGGCACGGGCAGCTGGCGCAACTGGGTGGCGTGCTGGTGTTGGCGGGGAGCAACCGTTCCGGGGCTGCCTCTGGGGAGGCCGGCGAGGGTGCGGGGGTCTCGGACGCACCCCCGACTCGGGCGCCCACGCCAGACTTCTGCCGGGGTTACTTCGATGTCATGGGCCAGTGGGACCCGCCGTTCAACTGCAGCTCGGGCGACTTCATCTTCTGCTGCGGGACTTGTGGCTTCCGGTTCTGCTGCACGTTTAAGAAACGTCGACTGAACCAAAGCACCTGCACCAACTACGACACGCCGCTCTGGCTCAACACCGGCAAGCCCCCGGCGCGCAAGGACGACCCCCTGCACGACCCCACCAAGGACAAGACCAACCTGATCGTGTACATCATATGCGGGGTGGTGGCTGTCATGGTTCTCGTGGGCATCTTCACCAAGCTGGGACTGGAGAAAGCACACCGGCCCCAAAGGGAGCACATGTCCAGGTGGGCCGCCCCCCCCTCCGCCCTTCCCTCCGGACGCCGCTCCCCCGAACCCCGCCTCTAAGCAATTGCACCCCCTCCCCCAGCCACTTCGCTGGGTGCTGTCCCCGGGAAGCCAACTTCGGCCCGGTGCTTGCAGAGGGGGGCGCTGGGCTCTGCGAAAGGTGTGGGTCTCTGCGTGTGTATTAAAGGGGTCTCTGTCCCTGTCACCTGGCTGCCGCCTTCTCTCGCTCAAGGCTGAGGCGGACTTGAGATACACCGTCTGGGAGCCGCTGGCTCCGAAACCTGGGGGTTTGGGGAGGGGGCTCGTGGCACCCCTCCGATACCGGATGCTAGCCTGTAGGTAAATAGAGGCTGGCGAGTCGAAAAAGAAGAGGGGCGTGTTGTGAACCCGCGCGCGCGCGTGTGTTCCGGAGCTATGGAGTGTGTGTGCCGCCTGCAACTCGTACGGCTCGCGAAAATGAGGCGAGGGAGGCGAAGAGGGTGAGAACAAAAGCCTCTTTCTGAGCGGCCGCCTCGTTTTCCCAGAGCTACGAGGGTCGGTGCAGTTCCCCGAAATCGGGACCTCGGGTCCTCTCGTACCCGAAACCCCCTCACCTCTTTCTCCCGCCACCATGTTTCCCTGCCTGGCGGGCGGAGGTGACTGCGCTGCGCCCCTGGCCTGGGGTGGCTGGGACGCCTGGGGCCGGAGCCCCCCTTCCCCGCAGATCCTAACCCCCTTGGTTCCCTGAGTCGTCAACTTTTCCTTTACCTTATTCATTATGCAAGTCCCAGCGCGGGCTCGTCGCAGCAGATGTGAGAAGGCATTTGGGGATTAATGAAGCTATTTGCCTTTTACCTTTTTACCTGGAGTGCGTAAATTGATTTGCACAACCCAGTAACTTTGGGGGCAGAGGATGGCTCCGCGAGGACGCAGCCCTCTCGGGTCCGGGGACAGGCGAGCGGTGGTGCCAAGTCCCGGGCCCGCCGGGTTGAAGGAGCGACAGGCAGCCTGCTCACTGGCTGTCCTCCTTCCGAGGCTGGGTCACGAAGTCGTCTAGTTTGCCCCTTTCCCAGTCCCACACACCCACCCCACACCTCCGCCGGGGACCTGTGCGTGCGCGTGTGTGTGCACGCGCTCCGTGCGCCTGCCTTAAAAAATATCTGAACAAAGAGACCCACCAAAAATAGGCGAAGGAACATCACCACCTCACAAGTAATTATTTTCTATTTATATGCTGAGGGTATCCAGTGAATTTCTTTTTCCTCCCCAGAGGGTAGAGATTTAGGGAAAGAGGTGAGGAAGTTCCTCTCCGTTCGGGTCAATGGGGAGGGGGGTGGATGGATGGTGAGGTCTCCCGGCAAAAGACTCCAAGGGGATTCTAGAAGCCTGACCTACTAAAGCAATAGGCAGTGGCCCCGCCCATCCCTGCAGCCCCGCGGTGCTCTGGGACAGAGCGCCCCCCTCCCCCTCGCCCCCGCCCACCTTTCGCACTCCCCACGGCCCTTTGCAGACCCTCCTGATTCCCGGGGTCTGTGTTAAAGGGAGTGAAAGATGGGGCGCGAGTGTGAGCATCTCCCGGAGACCGACAGGTAGGCAGCTTGCGGATTGGAGTTTTAACTCCTCTGTTGAAATCCCAGCTTAGCCCTTTCCGGAGCAAAACAGTTCTTAAAGGCACCGGGTCAGAGGTAGGGTAAGGGGCTAGTGGATAGGAGCTTCTATGGGAGAAAGCTAGAGAGGTTTCAGGCCTTTTGTGATCCCAGTGCCCTAGAGGACTGGCCCTCCACCTGGAACCCAGCTTCCCTGCTCTGCCCCCCTTGCAGCTCGTGCTGGGGGTAAAAATCACTGTAGCAAAGAGATTTTCAGTCAAATCTCCACTGCAGCTGCTAAGGAATGTCAGCTGGAAGGTGGAGCCTTCGGATACCCAGTCCTGGGGAAGTTGACTCTCAGGACAGGCGTTGTCTGTAAAAATTCCGGAATGAATAGCATCGACTGGAAATGCCTACTCTTGAAGATAGCTGTGGATATTTTTTTTGCTGGAAGATTCTAAGGTGAAGTTTTTAACCCTGACTGCTGCCTAGAATCCCTTGGCAGACTTTAAGCCCCACCTCCCTCTGGATAATTAAATCAGAATGCTAGGGGTGGGGGTGAGGCCTGGGCACCTGTACCTTGAAAAAGTTCCTCAGGTAGTGTTAAATGCTAAGTTAATTCTAAGGTGTCGTCCTTGTTAAACGCTAAATTAATGTTGTCCTTGTGCGCCCTCCAGTCGGGTCAGATTCATAGCCATCTTTAATAGGGTTTCTGAGAGCAGCTGGTGAGTGTGAACTGCTTACCTAGCGGTCATTAGTCCAATGCTTTTCCTACAGTGCCACACCAGTGCTTACACCACTATTTACAAGGAACTAGTGTTTGTTGAGCGCAGTGCTGTGTGCCGGGCACTGTATTACTCTATGGATTGCTTTAGTGTGTGTGTAGTGTGTGTGTGTGTGTGTGTGTGTGTGTGTATTTAGCATTCTTTCATTTAATTCTCTCCACTACCCTATAGGGGAGTCCTGGTGTGGTGTTGTGGGTTAATGCGCTAGACTGCAAAGTCGCTTACACCGCAAGGTCAGCGGTTCAAGCTTACCAGCCACTGCTCCGAAACCTTATACTGGATCACTATGGGTCAGCACTGACTCTACAGCACGTAACAACAACAACAACACTACCCTATAGGAGTCCTGGTGTGGTGCTGTGGGTTAATGCGCTGGACTGCAGAGGTGGCTTGAACCGCAAGGTCAACAGTTCAAACTCACCAGCTGCTCCTTGGAAACCCTGTACAGGGTTGCTATAGGTTGGAACTGACTCGATGGCACTTAACAACAACAACAACACTACCGTATAGGAGTCCTGGTGTGGCACTGTGGGCTAATGCGTTAGACTGCAAAGTCAGTTTGAACCACAAGGTCAGCGGTTCAAACTCACCAGCTGCTCCTTAGACACCCTGTACAGGGTTGCTATGGGTCAGAACCAACTCGTCGGCACTTAACAACTGCAACTACCCTATAAGACAGATGCTATTTTTTATAGACAGGGAAATCTTGGCTTCATTTGGGTGGCTTGTCCAAGGTCACTTCCTTATAAAAGCATGCAGCAACTAGTCTCCTGGTTTCACTGGTGTCTGGAACAGACATTTTCAGATCCTTTGAGCCTCACATTCTGGCTACTTACTAAAATGCAGATTCTTGGGTTTCATGCATGTTGTTATTGTTGCAAAGTACAATGGAGTCGGTTCCAACTCACAGTGACTCTGTACAGGGTTTCCAAGGCTGTAAATCTTTACGGGAGCAGAAAGCCTCATCTTTCTCCCACAGAACAGCTGGTAGTTTTGAACTGCTGACCTTGAGGTTAGCAGCCCGATTCTTAACCACTGCGCTACCAGAGCTCCTTGGGTTTCATGCATAGAGATTCGAAATGTGTCCTGATTCCAGTGGCTGTGATTCCAGTTGGTCTGTGTTTGGAGAAACACTGGTCTTGGGTTTGGGACTATTTTACAGGTAGGAGGATGGATGATTTCATCCCAGAAAGGAGAGAGGCCAACATGAGGATCGAGTCTACTTTGTTTTTGTTACTTGTTTTTTCAGTATGTAACCTTGGAGGGTTTCTTTGGTGCTGGGGCTGCCCCAGTGACCCAACAGAGGACACCCTGTGGGTGCTCCTTGCTCAAGCAGTCAGATCCAGCCTCAACTCTGGCAGCTGATCTGTTAGCTTTGCCTGGTGGTCGCAGGAATGCTCTGGAGGAAGGTTGGTAGGTCAAGTTTGCCATCAGCTGAGATAAATTTGCAGCCACAGCCCCTCTTCATTTGTTTGGTCTGGGGTTTCTAGGGACAGAGAAGATGTTCCTTCTCATGTCTTTCTGTTCCCAGCCTCATAGCATGCTGTATCTGTCTCTTAAACTTTGCCCCAACACCCCAGTGGAGACTAGAGCATTGAATGCTTTTGGAGACACCCATCCCTGGCATCAGCTTGCCTGCTCAGAGCCCTGAGCTCATGGAATGCTCCTTCTGGACTGCTTTACGCACCCACAATTCTGAAGCCTGTTGACCCTGTAGAACCTGCCCCCTAGGGCTTCCCAGGCTGTAAACCTTTATCTTTCATTTTTCCTTGGAGTGTTTGGTGGGTTTGAACTGCTGACTTTGCAGTTAGTGGTCTAACATGTAATCCACTTCATCCCCTCCTGGGATACTTAGGAGGGAGCTAAGGAGATCAACTCTGGGAGGGTGTAGGGGTCCTCGACTATGATGTTACAAGGTCTGTGCAGACCCTCATTCAGAGCATCAGTGGTAACGCTCCGCCATTGTCTTTTGGAAGAAATGTCTGGAAACAGTAGTCAGCACTGGTTCTCAAACCTGCTACTGACTGTAAGTTCTTATTTTCTTGGAAAGTTTCCTTCTTTTCTTTCTTTTATTGTGAGACAATTTAAACACATAAAACCTTGAGGGGAAGAATCTGAGGAAATCTAAATTAACATTCCAGGAGCCCAGTGGCTCTATAGGATAAGCACTGCTCTGCAGGTCAGCTGTTAGAGCCCACCTGCTGCTCTGCATGAGAAAGAGGAGTCTTTCTGCTCCCACAAAGATTATAGCCTTGGAAACCCTCTACAACAGGGGTGGGGAACCTGTTTTCTGCCAAGGGCCATTTGGGTAATTATAACATCCTTTGAGGGTCTTATAAAATTATCAACTTAAAAAATCAGCCTGCTGTGTTTGGATGATTTGGAACTGCAGTTGCCTTGTTAGAGTCAAAGGAAATAAATTTGTGGGCCCTCCTGGTTGGCGCTGTGGGTTAATGTGCCAGACTGCAAAGCTGTTTGAACTTCAAGGTCGGTGGTTCAAGCTCACCAGCCACTCCTTGGAAACCCTATTGTTGTTGTTATGTGGGTTTCCGAGGCTGTAAATCTTTACAGGAGCAGAAAGCCTCATCTTTCTCCTGCGGAACAGCTGGCAGTTTCAAACTGCTGACCTTGCGGTTCACAGCCCGATTC